CACGACGAACTAATTAACAACATTATAGAAGGAAAAATAGATGGAAAGAGAGGAAGGGGAAGACCAAGACACAGCTATATCAAGCAAGTTAAAGAAAAAGTTGGAGTCGTGTCGTATCAACAGCTAAAGGGACTGATAGAAGATCGTGGAAGGTGGCGGGAGCTCCACCGACAAGAGCACAATTCTTAAATTATGAATGAAAATGTCTATTACTCATAACAATTTGGAAGTAGATGGCCATGGTACATGATGTTTGTATTGATCTTGTGTTTTCTATATATACTAGCTACTCGCCCCCGCTTCGCCCTGGTGTATTGTACATGTATTGTACATATAAACCTTCCTCTTGAATCACTCTATCTATTAAAAGAAACCGCTTCAAAATCTGTTGAGTAGTTTTAAAGATTTAAGCATACATAGGGACGGACAGACAGGGACAGCGACTTTGTTTTATACTATGTAATGATTGTTTCATCATCTCAGCCCGGAAGACGTCTACTGATGAACAAAGGCCTCCCGCAAAGATCTCCAAGACGATCGGTCCTGCGCTGCTCGCATCCAATGCCTTCCAGCGATCTTGACCAGATCGTTGGTCCACCTTGCTAGAGGCCTTCCCATATTATGTATGTATGTACAAAAACACAAGCTCTGCTGAACTTAGCACTAGATGGCGCTGCATGAATTTTGCATGGATATTATTATTATTATATTATTAATTATAACAATCATGTGGCCATTTAAAACTCCATCCGATCATATTGCAAAGCCCTATTCCAACATAGAATCATACAAAAAGCTGTCCATTATCAGTAGATAACGTACTACAAACAGATAACACTATCTACCCTATACGGTCAACTCCCCTTGGGGAGACAGCCTTTGTTATATTGAACCTTATCCCCCTATATATAGGGGTGACGTTAATCCTAATATTTATGTTTATTTAAAGTGCAGATAGAAAATAGAGGGCGTGTAAGTTAGGACATCTGCATACTGCCTGTGAACGGTTTCGATAAAAGAAAATTACGTGAGACTTGTTTTATTTGACGGCCTCGGTGGCCTAGCGGTATAGCACATCGCTTTACTTCCGATGGTCGCTGGTTCGATTCTCACGGTCTAAATATTTGTATTCATGAGTATGATTGTTTGTATCGGTCTGAGTGTTTTCTGCCTGTTATATGTATGTATTTACAAACACTTTTTTTCGGACTACTCTAATGCTTTTGGCCTTTACAGCTTCACCGGTCGATAGGAGACGAATGCAGATGGCACTCCAAATCAAAGGAAGGACTTATGAAGCAACTGAAGGCCAACTCCCGCCTGACGGATACGACTTTGGTCTGAGGATGTAGATACGTATTTATAACAGTAGTCTAGTACCCAACACTTGCTTTGCGTACCGTAGGACTAGATGGCGCTGTGTGAATTGTCCTGAGATATTATCATTATTTATTTATATAACGTTTTGATATTACCACGGCGTCGGTATGTATATTGTACTAGCCGAACTGAGCAACTCGTCTGCATCACACTACTTGACATTTATCATTACATTTCGCCCAATTTACATATATATCTTTTTAAATTATAGTCTATATGTTACTGGTGTATTATCTATATTACCGTAAAGTTTTATCAAATTCTGTTCCGTAGATTTTGCGTCAGAGAGTGATAAAAATCCATCCATCCATACATACATACAAACTGTCGCGTTTCTAATATTATTATGATGTGTCAACCTAGGTGTTTTGTATATTATGTATGTATGTTATATTTATATCAGTTGTCTAGTACCCATAACACAAACTCTACTTAACTTGGGACTAGATGGCACTGTATGAATTGGTCACCTTTATTATTATGTTTTACTAGCTACTCGCCCCGACTTCGCACGGTTGTACATGTATTATATATATATATATATAATTCATTCCTCTTGAATCACTCTATATATTTAAAAAAACAGCTTCAAAATCCATTGCATAGTTTTAAAGATTTAAGCAAACAACGGACAGACAACGACAGCGACTTTGTTTTATACTATGTAATAATGACGGCCTCGGTGGTCTAGCGGTTTAGCACACCGCCTTACTACCGATGGTCGCGGGTTCGATTCCTCGCACGGCACAAACATTTGTATTCATGAGTATGATTGTTTGTATCGGTCTGGGTGTTTTCTATGTATAATATGTATGTATTTACGAAAAAAAAATATCTATGTATTTGTATCAGTTGTCTAGTACCTATAACACAAGCTTTAGCTAGCTTAACTTGGGTCTAGATGGCGCTGTGTGAATTGTCCTGAGATTATTATTATATTATTATTATAGATATATATATTAATTATCAGCTACCCTCCTGTGCAAAATTTAATCTCCTTTTCAGAATATTTTTCGAGTTTAAATGTTGAATCCAATGTATGTGAAAATTCACACAGCGCCATCTAGTCCCAAGCTAATGTATCTACAAAAAAACCTAAGTATTCTTTTGTATCAGTTATCTAGTATGCATAACACAAGTTCTGCTTAGCTTCGGACTGTTTTTTTTAATATCTATATAATAATTCATGTAGGTAGGATTTTCTCCAAGGTCCAGTAGTTAAATTAGCCAAAATTGCTCCTTATAATATCTTATATTATAAGGGGTAATTGAGGCTATCGGCGAGTGAAAGTTCTATCAAAATCAATCCAGCCGTTTCAGAGATTAGCAAAACAGACAGACGGACAATATTTTTTGGTGTAAATACCATATAGGCAAATTCAAATTTAAAATATCTTTATTCATCTATTACAGACTCTTATGATATGTCAAATCTACTGTCAGTTCAGAATGATTTCGAGATGAGGAGAACTGATGAGAAACTCAGCTCGTATTCTTTTCAAATAAATATTGTACATGATTACTATAGTAATTGTAGTATAAAATAATAAGTATTATAATACAGATTCATTTTTAAATTTGAATTTGGGAGAATAGAGTGACCAATCTACTCAGTGTTTGTAACCCGAACAATCCAATCCTCCCAAGCAGCACCCATTCATAAGTATGACGGATATATTATACTTTATATGCATTTAGTGAGAAGCTCTTAATTTGTAAATACAAACAGACACTTCAATTGTATACATTTAAAGCACTTTTTAGATAATATGCACAGAAAAGAAATAACAACAGTAACTGTCCCTCTTTTTTACTTATTTTGTATGTATGAAGTAAAAATTTTTTGACTGTAAAAGTAGTAAAATAAAAGAAAAAACTAAATTTAAAAATATTGAAACAATGAAGTGGAGGTGGACAGGCCACATTATTAGGGAAAAAATACCAAAATGAACAAAAGACATTACAGAGTTGTACCCGAAAGGACACAAAAGAAGCAGAGGCAGACAGACCAAAAGATGGAAAGATGACATCAGGAAGGTAGCAGGGAAAGTTTGGACTCGGAGTGCAAGGGACCGAACCCTATGGAAATACTTAGAGGAGTCCTATGTCACATGACAGACTGTTGATATTCAGATGTGAAAAAAAATAAAAATAATTATTACTAAATTATAGACTAACAGGACCACAGTTTCTGCTGTAAATTTGTAACGTAATGTTAACAGTAAATAAAGGCTTTTATTATTATTATTATTATTATCCAAAAATTCTCATCTCCCCTCTTAAGGAGAGGAGATGAGAATTATTATTATTATAACTAAAAAGAACCAATAATTTGTGTCCCAGAGCAAACAATGCACTGAGTTACTTCCTTTTTACAACAAAGGTAAAGAAAGAGGAAAGGAAAGTATATATGTATACTATATTCTTTTATGTATACTATCAGCAATAACACAATCACACATTATTACCTTCTTCGGTCACATCTCACGAAAAAACGACGCATCCATATAGCAACTTGTCATACAGGGTGGAATTGATGATACTAGACCCTGTGGACGGTCACCCATGCAATAGACCGACCAAATCAAAGCAGCAATAGGTGGTCCACTCCACGAGTGTACCAGAATGGCAGACAGTAGAGACAAATGGAGAGCTGTCATGTGGTGGATGACATCAGCCTCACATCCCACTACATAATGACCACAACCGTTCTGACAAGAACGAAGCGAATGAGAATAATACTGTGTTGCAGTATATATATGTGTGTGTATTTATTGATGTGAATAAAGTAAATATCTATCTATATATATTATAGGTAAGTAGTAAGTAGTAAGTAAGTCATTTATTTGCATTACAGACGGATATATACATAATCAATTAAGCTATAGTGACATAAGCAGTCAGCGTGTAATATTCTCTCCGTATGCATGCAAATTTTTATTACTAAACCTAACAATTACATACATTAATACATATTAGATACTGCTAGATTATTCGGCACACAGTTTGCTTTAGCTCAGTGAATAATAAGGTCAATAGAAGTATAATAACAGCATATTGTTACATCTGTCTTGATTATTATATGTTATTATGTATACATATTAGTTTATGTAACTGTACGTTATATGAGAGGAACAATAAAGAGTATTTCTTGATATTAATTTCATAATACCACTATAGTTGTGTCATGAAGCCATCAAATATAAGAAGATTTTAGTTACATTTTATCTGTCAAATAGTTGTGTACAATTTTTAGTTTATTAAAGCCTAATAATGTAAATCTAGTTTTAATTAATAATTCAACACTATATTCATATAAACTTGAGAATGATCAAGTCAAGATTCACTACATTCATTTAAGAATTACGGGAGGCATAATAAATATGACTTTTTAAAGATAATATTATAAGAATAAAAAAACTTAATAATTATATCATATATTGATGTCGTAGGTTAATAAAATTGAACTTTATTACTGCTACAAAAAATGCAATAATTCTATGACTATTACGAAATAAGAGCAATATTATTTACGTAAACATTAGATGTCAAAGTTTGACAGCTGTTTTATAGGTTATGTTTTCATTGTGAAAAACAACAATACACCGTAAAAGACCTACCTCGAGCTCCTGGCGGCGACATTTCTCCTCAAGTTCTGTTACTAAACCATCACCCTTTGCAGCTTCAGCACCAGTATCCTCAACTGGTGGCTCAGACAGAACTTCAGAAGCAAAGGTCGTAATTTGTCCTTTCAGGCTGCTCAAACTTTGATTAAGGTTTAACCACGACATTTTGTACACGCATATCACAATGTATTAATCAAATCAAACTTCTAATGTATTGTAATAAACGTAAACAATCAGAAAATTGCATTATTTTGCAAAATGACAAGACCATGTCCAGTTGGCAAAAGCTAGGGATGCGATTTACGAGTGCCTGAATCGATTGTGAACAATTGTTATTATTCGATTATAACTGAAATCATACCTACAAGACAGATTTAACGAAATATTACATTTTGTTGTTTTTAATTGAGTTTCTGTTTGGATTATAATAGAAAAAAATACGCCTGCCTAAATCTATTTAAAACTTAATAACTGTATGATATTATACAATGATGATATTATTCATTTTGATTCTATTGAAATTCCAGTTACACACAGCGAATTACTACTATTATTTTATTTAAGTTTAATTCCATTATCTGATTTATGATATGCCAAATAAAATCTTTCAGACGCTAATAGAACTCAAAGTAAAATTAACTATATTCAAACCACTCACACCTTTTCAACCAATTTACTTTCGAACTGTATATAATATCTAAAATCTAAATACTCTAATGAATATTTTTTTTTTGTAATCGCGATAAAAACGGTAACAAAAGCCAACCATGGAAGTAAGGCATTTGCGAATTATTTGTCGATGTTGATAACGAGAAAAAAGAAATTAGTCAATTCATAAGTGGAAAGGCAATAATACATCAATCTGTCAGTCTATTTCAAACATGCTGTAAATTTATATCTATTATTAGTGCTGTAAATAAATTACTTCATGCAGTTCCGGTTTTTTTAAGAAATCGGGTATGCCATTGACTAATTCGGATGTCGCAATGTTCTTGTTTTTCTAAAAATTTAAATAAAATTATTATTTAATTAAGAAAAAAAAAACCTATTTTAAAACACGTTTTGGATAATTGTTTTGGAATAATAGTAGTTTTTGAAGGAAACAGTAAAATAATTAAACAGTAAAATATTTCTACACATAAATTAGTTTACAATAATTTCTATTGAATTTTATAAACATAATTATAATTTCTAATCATATTTCTGATTAGAAATTACAATTATGATTATAATTAGAAATTAAATTATTATACAAAAATTAATTCTCCTAATTAGAAAGAGGTGATTGTTACTTTTACCTCAGTTAACATAATATTGCATACTTATACAATATTATGTTATCTGTGGTTACACTGTTCCATTAATTTCCACTAACATCTTTTAAAAAAAATCTTCCACTGACATTTTGGATTTCATTTAATCTGTCATTTAGTTGATTTTGCTTACTTTACTACAGTGTCGGTTTTTTGTAAATGAATAATTGAATATCGATTTACACCGGTTTTAAATTAAATATATCTGTTTCTTGTTATAAAAGCAAGTTTAAACGATTGTTATTTTTCCTACCACTGTTTTGAATATTACATTCCTTGTTCACTTTACATAGAATACAGTTTACTATAAAGTGCCTAACCTTTAAAAAATGGAGCAAGATGAATTGTCCGAATTTTTGATTACAAAAGAAAATAAGAAATTACTTCCCGAACAAGAGGTTAAGAGCCATGAACCGGAAGAGAGTATAAAAAGGGAGCCATTGACCACAAAAAACGCGGTAAATTTTTTATTAGCGGGAACGCTCAGGCAGAAAGTGTGCAGATATTGTTTAAACGTCGCAACTCCTTTGTATGAATTGGATCGAGTTTACCAAATCGGTACTGAGACAATTTTATATAAAGTCACCGTGAGGGACATGATTGCAAGTTTTCATCCTTTCAAGGTAGAGTATTAAATTTACGTACGTTTGGAATAGAATACATCATTGTTTTGAATATCTGTTGCTGGACTTTTCTTCATAGGGTCTCAAGTAGAGTTTATATAGTTTATCTGCATTGGTACATCTGACTCACAAAGCAGCTTGCTTTATAACATTTTTTTTCTATATTTATTTGGAATGACAAACAACATGTAACATTGAGACAGTGGTACACATGTCAATGTTTTTATACAAATTCTATCTCAGTAAAAACTTTTGTTTAATGTAAATAGATTTCAAACAAGCTTACTGTCCGCCTGATGTTAAGTGATAATCACCTATTTGCAAACAGCAATATGTTATCATTTGGCACCTGCAATATCAGATGTGAGCTACCTTTCTGTAGACCTATGATGTCAAGATTCTCTACCCTGTAATTTCACTTCCTTACATTCTTTAAATGAAATGCATCCTATAAGATACTTGGTAGCTATTTTGTTTTTTGGTAGCTATTTGGTATAGATCAGACATATGAAGTTGTACTTAAGCAGAATTTTTGCAAAGTCTTCCTTGATAAAACAATATCTATTTTTAGATTTATGAATAAACTAGCTGTTCCAGTGACTTCGTCTGCATGGAATTTAACATTATTATTCTAAAATAAAAGTAGCCTAAAGAACTAAAAATTATTATCTTCATCTTAATTTATTCATGCCATTAGGTACTGATAGGTTCAAACTAATACATTTATATCCTGCATCATCCCTTACTTTATCCCCATTGGGATTGAATTTATCAAAATCCTATTTAAGCGAACATCTTCATCACAGTAGCTCCAATCTTTAATTTCAGTTCAATCAGTTGAAAATCTAAGAAGATTTATACAAACTTTCATCCCTTATTTTATCCCCTTAGGGGTGGAATTTATGTATGCTTTATGTATGGAAAGTCTCCGCTCGATCGGTTTAAAATTGACAAAGTTACATACAAACTTTCATCCCCTATGTTATCCCCATGGGGGTAGAAATAATCAAAATACTTTCTTAGCGGATGCCTACATCATAACATCAACCTGCATGCCAAATTTCAGCCCGATCCATCCAGTAGTTTGGGCTGTGCTTTGATAGATCACTATGTCAGTCAGTCACCTTTGAGTTATATAAATTTAGATAGAAAAGAAAAATATAGTTGTTATTAAAATATCTACAGGTACAGCATGAAGCCGGGGTAGTATTATATAAGTTGTGTATTATATAAACTATGACTATAGTATTATATAGTATTATATAAACTATGTATATATATATAGTATATATATAGTATTATATAAACTATGACTATCATGCATCAACAATCTGTCTGTTGGAATGCAATTGATCTTCTAACAAAGGTCTTCAACATTTTTCATCTCTCTCTATCCCTAGCTACCCTTGTCCTATAGAAGTGGTCAGAGTCATTGTCGAATGTCTATGGGATGGTGAAGGTAACATTTGACATGTCCACATTTTGTTGCTATATTTGAATTCTATATGGGACAAACCATAATGTTTGGTTTGTTACCAGTATTTTCTTCACTAGAAAGTCAGTATAAATTGGCACAACATTTATTTTGGTATGGCCAGATTTGAATTCACAACCTATTTGTTATAAGTAGTAATAAAAACTAGTGGTGTACCTCTGAATTACCATTGTCAATAGCATTCTATCTATTGCGATTTTGGTGGCTTTGGTCTTCCCTACAGATGTAAGATTTACTCAGTAGGTCTACCACGAAGTGCAATTCCGAAATTTCGGATCGATATTTCGTGTGATTCGTACCATGAAAAACGTTCATTCCGAAATTGTGCCCGAAAACGGAGAATATCGTTTCGATCGTCCCACAGGTTACATGTGGATCACAAAATCACACACAATCACATACCTCCTTGGTATAGACAGTGTATTTTACTCTACTTTAATGCAAGTTGTAAATTAGCACCTCACCCATTAAACTCATTTATATCATCATCCAATGAGAAATTTTCAAAAAAAAAACAGCAGAGATACAAATAAAATTAATAAAAAAAAACTTTAATGCAACCATATAGTTGTATTACCATGCATTAATTAATATTTTTCTCTATTACAGGTTATAGATGAACCAAACTTTCCAAATAGAATCTGCGATAAATGCTTAAATCGCACTTTCAGTGCATATTTATTCACTCAACAATGTGATCAGTCTGAAAGAGCTTTACGCAACTGTTTTGATGATATATATGAGAAACTTGATAAACTTGATCCTTTAGAACGACCCAAGAAGAGAGGCAGACAGAAAATAAATCCAAATTATAATGTAATATATTCAGAACATGAAAAAGTATTTAATTATGCTGACCCATTAATAAATATTATCAATATTGGAACCTCTGTAGACAATACAAGTAATGGATATAATGAACTCCAATGTCCACGGTGCTGGCAAATATTGCCAAACTTGGATTCCTTGTTGAACCATGAGAAACTACATCCAAAATTTATGTGGTATAATTGTCATATATGTGGCAAATCATTTGCCAAACGATACCAATTAAAAAGGCATGTACGAAGCAGTCATGAATTGGGTAAGAAGTTGTCATTACCTGATAGCGGTTTTAAATGTACTGATTGTGGAGTTGGCAGTGTCAGTTATGACCAACATTTGCGACACATTGAAAAACATAAGTTTCAAACTGTTATGGAACATTTAGTGCATAGGAATATGGATAAACTATGTGCTCTGTGTTTGAACAAAGATGGTCACTTAGTAGAATTAGATAAAACTATCAGTTTACATGGAGGCCATCCTGAGTTAACAGGACACAAAAGCATTTATAACATTGTGGGCTCAACTTTACCTGAAGTAAGTATAAATTGTTTATATTTCTAATATTTTCGCATACTTTTCAAAATTCTTATAAAACAGCTTTTCTTACCTGGGTACTTATAAAATAGAGTCTAAATATATCTGAAAAAAAAAAAAGATGTAACAAGAATATTGAAATGTACTAAGTATGATTCAGGAGTCTAATATTACTTGAAATATGTTATGACATTTGTATATCATACTTTTGTCTCCAATCACAAGGAATATTGATTAACTCTTCTTGTAATTTGAATAATATGACTTATTTGTCTTTACATTATTAATCATTTTCTAGCAAAAATCATACAAATATCAAGAATTACTTGTACCTAACACGGCTAAGATAGTAACATTAGTAAAGAAATTAACAGCCAACAAACAAACTTCAGTGGATCAAGAAAGAGACATAAACACAATGGCTGAAACTTTTGCTTTGCCTCATCCAATAATTATTTCTGTGTCATCTGTTAAAAGTGATAACACTTTGTTCATATTTTCAAGACCTCAATCATGTGAAGAAAATACAGCAATAGAACTAAATTGCCAAAATATTGAAATTGCAACTTCCGTAGAAAGTTGTTGCAAAAATAATAAAACCAGTCTCTATGAAATTGAAAATGAAAAATCTACTACAAATAAAGAACCAAGAGATTGTTCTGACATGTTGCAAACCAATAAAAACATTTTCACTTTTTCTGAACCATATTTTTTGGATATTTATAAAAAGGCAAACAATACAACATTTACTAATCCTGAACCCAAAATATCTAAAGTTAAAATTATCAGCCAACAAATATTTATGGGTAATAATTACGTTTTCGAAAAACGTAATAACCATGCTGAACTGCAAATGAATATGTCTGTTGTGGGAAGGCCATCTTCAGACGAATTTTCTGAGCCTGTTAGTAATTTTTCTATGGACATGATAAATTCAGATAAAAATGACAATAGAATCAAATTTGGTGATGCTATTAAGGAATCATGCAAGTTTTGTTGGATATTCACAAATACGGAAAAATGTGAAAAGTGCAGAAAATTTAATTATACTAATTCTCATAATAGGAATAATGATCGTAATATGATTACGAAATCAGATATTTATCCTAATGCTTGTGTCGATCAAGTCATCCTGGGTTGTGGCGAAGTTTTTGAATCAATTACAAATTCATCTGAGCATATTACAACATCAGAAGCAGATAATAAAAAAACTGAGCCTGCTAATTCTATTAAAGATCTGTGCAAGTTTTGTTGGTTCTTTAAAAATACAAGAAAATGTGAATACTGTAAAATATGTAATGATAATGATTCTATGACCAAAGCAGAGAAAATAAGTCATAATGTTTGTACTAATGTAGTTAAACAACCCACTAAACGAAAACTTACTGATGAGATAAGTGTACGACCTATGAAATCAAAGTGGAAGTGCAATATCTGTCTAACAGATAATGCAAATAGACTGACATGCTTATGTTGCGATTTCCAAAATTATGATTACGATAAAGTGATGAAAGTTAATTTAGGAAATGGTAAAAATAGTATTTATGCACTAATGGATGTTAATAAGAAAAATGAACTATCACAAAATGATATTAATGAAAATAATGATTCACTAAATGATATAAGTAACAAAAATGAGATCCCAGAAAAGGATATTGATAACAAAAATAAAAGCCCTATAAACTTTGACAAATTAAATTTAATCTTAAATTCCGCATCAGATATAATTGAAAGTGCTAAAGAAGCCACTTCTAATAACTTGACATGTCAAGATAATTTTAATAATACAATTAGTACTGAAACTAATAATTTGGAGATGGAAACTTGTGAGAACACTGGATTTTTTACTATTACATTTAATAATGGAACAGATTCTGCTAACAGCAATATGGAGATTCAAGAAGAAATGGATATAGTTATGGATGCACTACCAATAAAAACTACAGCAGCCATCGCCACTCCTAAAGTGTTATATAACAACACAACACCAACACCATTTCAATTTCAAATTGGTACAGGGACTTCTAGAAATGAAGGAAGAACAAGAAGATTCATAAAGCCTTTAAGAAGAATGGCAAACATGTCTTAAAAGTGTAAAATATTGAAATGTAATTACACTTAATTTAATTTCGAAAACCAGTGATTTGTTTATTTTTTTCTCTTATTATTTATGGAGTATTGTTTCATAATTTAACAGTGAATGGTGAAATAGATTTATTTTCAGCAGCAATGGAATGAACTATAATGCATTATTTATCTGAAGTATAATATAGGCTCTATATTATAAGTATATTGTAATTACGACACTGAGGACAGTGGAAATCTTTAAATATACCTTTAACGTAATTTTAAAGTACGTAATTAATATAATACTCCATCCTTCGCTTTTTATGCCTTTATTTTACAACTATTTTAATTTTTTGTTGCAGATGAATATCTTAAACAACTATACGGGTTCCAAAATATGCGAAAAATGTCTCAATAATGCAATAACAGCTTATATTTTTTTAAGTCAAACCTATTCCATAAGAAATAGACTGAGTATTTGTATTGATTCAATGTTAAGTTCTTTAAAACAAATAGTTAATCCAGAAGCAAAACTGTTCATTGAGATTGCGCAGAATACTATTATGGCACCAAAATCACCAGATTATATTGATGAAGATTTGTTCATTGATGATGATGATGAGGAATTTGATGAAGAAAAACTTAAAGTAGAAGTTTTAGAAGATGAATTTAGAATCAAATCTGCGAGTGATGACAGTGATGATGAAGAGAGAACAAACATTAAAAAAATATCTAATGATGTCTTAAAAGATGAAAACAATTGTAAGGGCACTATTGTGAAACCAAAAGAGTCAGAATGTGTTGATAAAGATTTGTTGAAAGATAACAATCAGAAATTAGATGAACAAAGTCTTGAAGAAGTTTTAGAAGATAAATTTAGAAAAAAATCTGAGCCTGATGGCGATGAAAGTAGGATAGACATTAAACAGGTATGTAATAATTTATTAAAAGGAGAAAACAATGATGTTAATAACAAAAACATATCGAATCCAGAACTAATCCACATGGATCATGTGAAAATGGATTCCACAAGTGAAGAATATGATTTCAAAACACATGTAAAATCTCCAGTCTGTGATAAAGATAACATAAATATAGATGATAATTCAGAAGATATTATTGATAATCCAGCTAAAAGAGCAACAAAGACTTATGTGAAAAAAAGATTTATCAATGGCTATCAATCCACATTTGCTTCTAATGAGACAGAACAAACCATGAATGATGTATGCAGCGAATTCTTAACTTTCAAAAAGAAAAAGAAGCCAGTTAGGAAGTTTTACAGCTGCAAATTCACATGTCCATTATGTTGCAAACATTTCCTTTCTGAACATTTTCTAACTCGACACATATTGAAACATGTTAATAAAAAAGTTAAATGCACAATTTGTTTGAAAGACTTTCAATCGAAATTCTATTTATATGAACACACAAAAATTGTACATTTGTTGGATGTAAAAAATTCTTGGGCATGCAAAGTTTGTGGTAGAACATTCATAAGTAAAAATAAATTTATTAAGCATAAACGAACCCATAGAAACAAAGAATGCCAGTTGTGTGACAAATTATTCTCAACACAAAGACAATACGATAGTCATATGCAAAGACACACAGCCAAATTAAGAGAAATCAAAGAGAACAATATTCAAACGTGTAGTTTCTGTGAAAAGGAATGTTCAAACGACAATAGCCTTTCAGTACATGTGAATAAAGTGCACTTACAAATAAAACCGTACAGTTGTGATATGTGTAATAGACAATTTTATACGGAAACAAATTTGAATTGCCACCAAAAAGTCCATAGTTTATTCTCAATTGAGACTTGTCAAGTGTGCAATAGAGTATTAAAGTCTAGGAAATCTTTGGTCATCCACGTGCGGAAACATATTGGCGCGAAACCGCATAGCTGTCAAATCTGTAGACAGTCGTTTTACTCGCAGAACAAATTGACGGCTCACATGAGAGTTCTACATGGCGGTAAATATTGTTGTAAACAATGTAAGACTGTATTTATAAATAAGTCTGATTTGAGAGATCATGTTAGTAAAACACATAATATGATTTAACATAATGTAATAGGTATTTAAGTTTGCACAGATTAAAACAAGTTTAATCTATGTAATGTAATGTTTAAGAAGTCAATACAGATATAATTTTATAATTTTTGGAATTATTCAGATAAAGAATATTTTGTTACTGTGATTGGTATAAACATACATTTACTGCAAATTAAGGTATACATTTTTGATGCAAGAAACTAAGGTCTAAAAAAAGCAGATTAATAATTAGGTTTAATACAAAATTCTTCCCCTTGAATTAATTTTACTTTTGTTTTATAAATAATGTAAACATTGTGAAAATAATTTAATAGTAGTAATTTTATATTCAAGGCTCGAAATATTTATTAAAAATAATATAAAGTATGATTGTAGCGTAGAATACTTTTTAATATTATTAATAATAATTTAATATCTGCTTTTTTTTTCTTCTGAATTGAATAAAAAACAATATTATTTTTTTCCTCTGAATTGAATGTAAATTTAATACTAGGCCTATTAAATTTTCAATTTATAACCCACGATTTCGTACGCGTGGAATGTAACTATTTTTATTAAAATAAAAGTAGCCTAAGTTCCGTAAAAATTGGTCCAGCCGTTTCAGAGCAAGAACAAGGCAGACAATTTCCTACTGCTACTACTTTTTACTTATGATGTAAGTACAGTATATATATTTATACTTATATATACTTTCTTATGCATTTAAGAAAAGTTAATTTGAAATTACAGACAGATACTTAAATTTTATTCATTTATATAGATATATTTATTAGTTATTTTCAATTATATTTGTCGGAAACAGTCAAGTTGTGAATCTCAATATTCATGTTTTGGAATATAAATAATAGTCATAATAAAATATATTTAAGGCACCTATTTTTGTGTAAACTTCTTTAAGACCAGAGTAATTGCATTAATTATATGGAAGCATGGGGTTCATATAAAAAAAATAAACCTTTGTATTTCGTAACACTAAAAACACTTACCCAAAATATTTATTATTTGCAAGTGGAATAAATATTGTTACTATACTGCTGTGTATAGTTATAAAACAAGAATATTTATGTTTGTAGGTTTAAGATTTACTTTAATAAATATATTTAGAATTATGTAAACATTTTTTTTATTGTTGGTATTCTATTTCAACATAATATGATCGGTTTTGTGGTATTTTGAATTGCAAGATACATAATCAGGGGATTGATGTGTACAGACATATAATAACAAGAATAATAGTTTTATTTTAACATTTATAACCGAAAAAAAAAAACACAGTGTAATGTAATTAAAAATCATAATTATCAAATCAACGTAAATAATTTATACATAAAAACAAATATATAATATAACCCTGGACATATTTTATCGCTATTAGATTTCAAACTAAGCAGAGCTGGTTGCAGTTAGAGCAGGCTATTTGAGAGGAATCGAACCCATGAACATAGCAAGTAAGGTGGTGTGTTAAACCGCTAAACCACAGAGGCTGTCCGCAGATGTACTCAAAGAACTTCTTTATTCTGTGGATATACTCAGACAACTCATGAATTGCAAGGTTTTTTGGGGCGAGATCTAAGCCTGTGGATGTTAAACATTTTTCAACAGTCTTTATTAATTTTTAATCTATTAGATTCATAATTTGTTGTAATTAATAATTAATACAGCACCAATTCATTCTCATCTACTTTTGGTTGCCTTTTATCTTCGAATAAATAATAATATTCCTTTCCCAGCTCTTTCACATCACGCGGATCAAATTTCTTATCCTTATTCTTCCAATGAACTTTCTTAAAATGATTCCTCATCTCCCTAGCCAAATAAAACATTGTGTCACACAATGGACAACGTATAGTTTTTTCTGTATGTTTCTTTATTTTATGCGTATTCATTATACTTGATGATCTGAATTTCTCTCCGCATACATCACATTCATACGGCGTAACACCTGAATGTATACGTTGATGCATCTTCAAACACACGCTGTTCGCGTATTTCTTCCCACAGATGGTGCAGTATCTCGTGTTTTGTGTGGAATGAGTCTGGATGTGCTCTTTCAGTCGTTCCTTCCCACAGAATGTCTTCTTACACATGTTACACTCGTAAGGCTTTATTTTCAAATGGAACCTGTTAACGTGCGACTCCAGCTCCCCTTTCCTAGTTACCATATGTCCGCACCAATCGCATTTCACTACCTTTAGGTTCTTTTTCGGTTTCACTCTCTTCTGTGTATGCGTGTACTTTAAATGTCTCTTTAAATAAATTGGTTTTATTAATTTTCTACAGATTGGACACTCTACGGGCTCTAAATGAGCTTGTCTATGCAATTTTAACATTGATTCTGTTTGCAACGTTTTACCGCAAGTCTCACATTCGTATTGACTATCAGTGTTCTTATTTACATTACAATAAATCATGTGTTGTGGAAAAAATGCTGTTGTTATATGCTTGTTACAATCAGTACATTTGATGACGTCATCGCAATGCATGCGGCTGTGTGCGTGTAGTTTTTTTATATCGTCAAAATCAACGTTGCAAATTTTACAAGGGAATCTAGCGTCAGGTCCGTGGGTTGCTATATGATGCATCAATTCCTTTTTAGCATCAAACTTAATTCCACACATCGGACACTCCAAATTGGTTCTTCTTCTTTTCAACTGTATACCATTGTGTATTCTGAACATGTGTTCTTTTAATTTTAGTATTGTGTAAAATTGTTTATTACATAAATTGCAAGGATATACACCTACAGCGTGTTTAGTATTTTTGTGATTCGACAATTGCTCTTCAGTGTGAAACGAGGATGTGCATACATCGCATTTGTATTGCCGTTTGATCCATTTGCAGATTTCAACGTGTTCGTCAAACGTGGCCTTAATTTTAAAGTCCAAATCGCAAAACTGGCACATAAAGTTTTCTCTATGGAAGCGATTTAAGTGATTCCTTAATGTAACTTTCGAATAAAATTGCTGAGAACAATGCGCACATGTGAAGGGATGGTGATCTAAATGTTCACGATTCACATGTCCAAGCAACGCTTCTCTTTTTGGACATATGTAGTCACAATCTAAACACATAATTTTAGTAGCTTCGTTCATCATTTGTTCTCTATAGGAGACTAAATATTTATAATGCATACACGGCACCTCTCTGCAGTCTAAACATCCATATTTACACTTGTGAACCTTTAAGTCTGCTTCTTTAAAATGTTTTAAACACATGATACATTGTGGATCGCCATGTTTTTTCTTCATATGCGTTTCTAGAGCTAAAGATGAATATAATATGCGATCGCAGACTTCGCATTCATATATATCATCTTCGTGGTTCAGTTTTAAATGCTCCAGAAAATTTTCTTCTGGCATAATGTTAAAACAGAGTCTACATCTGGCTTTATTGTGTATCTTGTAATGCAACGATAGAAGTCTTTTTGTCTTTAATACTTCATAACATATTTTGCATTGCAACGGTTGTATTTTTTCCGTTCTTCTTGAAATTTGGCACACCCTCTCGTGTTGCAACCACTTCTTTGTAGTAGATATGACTCTTTTACATTTCATGCATTTGTAAATTCTGTTTTTCAATCTCTTTAGTTTTCTTTTCTTCAATTGTGAACCTAATTTTATTTCTTGTATTATATTTACCTTGATTGCATCTGATTTTTTGTTATTTTCATATATTGTATTTGTTTCAGCATTTTCTATATTATTAGACGAAGATTCTATTGCAACAACTTCAGTTACAGCTCTTATATCTACATATTTATCTATATCTTCATTTTCTTGTAATACTATTAGAACATTTGAATTTTCACACTCTCCATCAGATGTTAATTGATTATTTAAATCTGTAATCTTTATAGACAAGTCTTCGATATATTTATTAAGTATTTCAGATGATTTTATAGTATTGTAAATGAATAGATAGCATTGTATTACATTTTGTGAGCAGTGACTGCAAATGAAAGGACTTGCTAAGATATTTTTAGCCTGTAAGTAAAATGAACGCAATTGTTATTAATAGGTATCTTATTGATTCTGATATTTAGTACCAGATTGGTCTCGGGTCATGGACCAAGTCTGAAGTTAGGTGTGGTGAATGACCATATAAAAGAGGTGCAATACTTACATCTCCTTTAAAAACATAGTACACGATATCCTTAATTAGTTTTTTATGCGAATTATTATTCATGACTATATCAAATTCTGTATCTATAGTCCACAGATTTTCATCATTCGCGAGGCAAATACCACAGAATTGGGTATTTTGACATAAACTTTTGAGTTTTTGTATTATATATTTTATATTAGATTCGTTCATTCCGAACTGATCCAGTACTTCCTCAGTCATTTCTGCTGTAATGTTATTATTTCTGTAAATGTGATAAATTGCTTCGTTATTGATTTTGAAATGCGTATTATTACATGCACAGTTCAAAAAAAATATGGGGTCGTAATTGATGGTAATGGAATAGTGCACCCGCCTGCGCTAACGGTTTTAGCTGGCGAGGCACCAGTGGAGGATGATAAGATGAGCATGAGGTCAGGTCAGTTAGCACATCGTGATAAATTCACCAATAACTTATCACGATGGTTACCAGGTGAAACCGCGTGGAGGTCAACATAATATGGTACATTGTTAGCAATGGGTTCATTAGTCCACATTTAAAACATCTATTCAAAAGAGCAATACACAAATTTCCTGCTCATTCTTCTTGTGATGATTCGGTGTTCCGAATGAGTGGTAGAATAAAAAATATGACTACTTATAATTACCAAAACGTGGTAAGAACCCGTGATTTTTACTAATTATACGTATAAATAATGACCGCGTTAAAATTAATATAGTTTATTAAAAATATGGCTATTCAAGTGCTTGTATTGAGTTTTTTTGATTAAAGATTATATTTATTATTATTATACTATGCTGCACCTGCCTGCGCTAACGGTTTATGCTGGCGGAGCACCAGTGGAGGATGATAAAATGAACATGTCAGCGCATCGTGACAAATTCACCAGGAATTTATCACGATGGTATCCAGGGGGAACCGCATGGAGGTAAACCTGACATGGTACATTGCTAGTAATGGGGTCATGAGTCCACATTACTAGCAATCCCCTTCCCGCCTCTGTGTCTATATTAACCGTGGATAGTTTTCTACGGCCTTACATTTATATCATCTTATATTTATACATCTACATTTTCATATTGTCCGATAAGGGAGTTAGAAGATTATGACTACAAATAAAGATAGAATTGGGTAAGCACATATGCAATAGCATTCTGTATCCCTCTGTCTACCTCGTGAGGAATTTGCCGTGAAGATAGATATATTTTTATATAAAAAAAATGTTTTCTGTAGTTTGCGACTCTACAGATGTACAGTACGTAAGGACTGTACTTATTATAAAAATATCTGAGATTCTTTGCTATCTTTTTTGTTTCCAATCCTACAATTTAATTTTTAAACTTAGATTTATACCCTACCTGTGATACAAAAGGAACACACCGGTATGTTCCAGTCATAATTTGTTTACGTGATTTTCCGCAGCACTGTTTATGCCTACTTCCTTACTGATAATCTATGGATAAATGTGCTTTTATTACGTCGTGTATTATTAGAAAATCGTTACCAGTTAAAATGTCATTTGTAATATATCCAGGTAATTTAAATATAGACACTAATAAATGAGTAATTTACGAAGTACACTAACAAAAAGAAAGTAAAATTACTCTAAAATACAAGATGGCGTTCCTGTTGTCTTCTAAAGTATAGATATAAAAATACTCTATGCTCAAACTTGACATGTATTAGTGATGTGCCTATGAAAGTAGTATAACGGCGCGGGTGACTTTTTTCTATAGGAAGACGTCAGCAGGGGACAAGCAATTCAGTGTTGCTTATATTACATTTGGTGCAACTCTATAATTAAATTTATTTATATTATTATCTATTAGAACTAAAGAAACTTTTAGAATCAACATTTACTATTTGTCTTACTAAGAAAATGTGGACATACAAGCCTATTTATCTATAACGATTTCTATATAAAATATATGTTATTGCAGACTTTTTAGGGCTATTAATAAAAATAAGTCTACCATTATCTTAGTGTAACTGTAATAACGGTCTAAGGTCTATGCAACATACGCTAAGTAAAGCTAAGCTCACTGATTAAAAAAAGTCGACTTATTTGACGTTTAATTATTCGTCCAATTTACACATTATCATTTGAAACTCTCTCACATTGTTGTTGCATTATTCTGATCTTTTACAGATGACCCTAATTAACAGATTTACATAACATCCAAGTTTATAAAAAGAAAATAATACAGATATATTGAAGTACAATAATTTAAAAAAGCAATAAAGGCAAAATTATCGTTGTACTAACGCTGTGCGTGTGGTTAAACTCTAATGAAGCTTGGAATGTTGACATTGACAGATCATTGTTTTTGTTATTGTTATTACATTAAATGCTTGGATGAAGAAATTAATTGTTATTTTATTGTATTTATATCGTAAGATTAGTTATTAGAAGTTCAATATTAAACTATTACATATAACAGCGACATGGACTTGTTGAAGCTATTTTTAAATGACAAAACATTTAAAAACACATGTTTTCTGTGTTTTAAGAATAATGAGAATTATGTCTCTATATATCAAGATTTTAATGTATACGATGAATGTACCAATTGGAACATTTCCCTCCAAAATATGATCAAATATTTGCTACCATTACAAGTGAGTAATAAACAAATATAACCGGGGCAAATATTTATTTTTGAATCTCAAAGCAGTAAGACATTAGGAAAGCAGTTGTTATCTGTCCTCAATTCTTGGTATCTAATCTAATCTTTGATATTTGTTACAAGAATTATATTATCTGTGGAAATAAATTTAATCTTCAAAACCTATATTCCTACATAGGTTTTATGAAATTGTATATAATGTAGTCAGAAGTTTCTGCAAGGTTTGGGCATTTGGTACTTGATCCTTAGCCTGTTTAATATAAAACCTGGTTTAAAAATTCTTAGTATTGAAAATATATGAATTTTAATTAACATAGTTCTGATGTATATAACAATAATGGTCACATATTTAGACCATACTGACTGCCATATCATCTGGCAGTTCAAGTAGCTACTATTGGACACTTTTTTTTTATGTAACTGGAATGTCACACAAGCTAAGAACCCTAATGGTTAATGCCAATCATTATTCACATCCATAAACAATAACACTGATATCACATCATTATTATTCTATTCTATTCTATTCTATTCGACTTCTATCCATTCATAAAAAAATTAAAAAATGTAAAAAAAAACTATACAATAAATTTCTCTATTTCAGGACATCATATTCCATCAAGCTTGTGATATCTGCACACATTTGATAATTAAAATGTATATCATTTTGAGGAAATATAATAAAAAATTAGAAAAATACAACTTAATCATAGAGAAACTGATCAGTCAAGTTGACAAAACATCATTACTCCATTTAAAAGAAACTGGTAAAATGTATTTCAATCTTGAAGAATCAGAAAACAACAGTTTAGAATATATAAATGATCATATTGTAACAGAAGAAGAGGTAGATACCACAAAAGAACTCAAAACATGTGAAGAATGCAATATGAGCTTTAAAGGTGTGGAATTATTCCATGAACATAAAATTCTAACTCATAGAAATACTAATAAATCTTTGGTGTGTGAAATTTGTGGTAAAAATTATAAGACACCACAATCGTTGAAGGATCATCTCAATAGTCACACAGAGAAACAGTGTCCGAACTGTAATAAAGTTCTCAAAGCCTCGTATTATAAAGAACATATACGTAAACATGAAATCAAGGAACGTAAAAAACGGAAGAGGCTTCTCTACAATTGTAATGATTGCCATTACAAAAGCGTCAACAAATGCTCACTGAATGCACATATTAATAAAACACATTTACATGTACGTCCATTTGTATGCGATATATGCTTCAAAGGGTTTCACAAGAAGAGCACCTTGATAGAACATGTTAAGATACATGAGAAACGTAAGGATTTGAGGTGCGAAATATGTGGAGAGGGTTATGTATGTATGAAAACATTGACAGAACATTTAAGGTTGCATTCTGGTGATAGACCATACAAATGTGATATGTGCAATGCGAGCTTCGCATCGTCTGGCCGTAGAACAGAACATGTGCAACGTAAACACATGGAGAAGACGAAGCCATGTTTGATTTGCGACAAAAAGTTTAGTTTAAAGAAAGAAGTGAAACGCCATATGAAAGTAGTCCATAAAAATATTGATCCAACAAATTCTCAATTATTAGATTTAAGTTCACCAACTCCTGAAATTACTCATATTGATACAATAATGTAGAAAATTAAAAGAATAAAATATAAATATGTTGTATTATAAAAAAAAACTAATAAATTTATTACTTAATTCCTAATATATTTTACTTACCACTCATTTAATAATTTAATCTACCACTGCCACTCATTTAATCATTCAATCGCTCATTTAATCTACCACTCATTTGTTATTTTAATATCACTTCTCACTATATTGTTTATTATTGTTGCATCTCAAGCAGCCTCAAGTCTAATCGGTCACATCCTGCAGATACGTCTAAAATTTACAAGTGCTTACTTTATATCTGAATACCTTCATGTTTTAAGCAGTTGAATAATCAAATTCAGGAATGCCAAATATTTTAGTACAGTCTTCTAGTGTGGTACCGACCAAAATATTTATGAAATTAAATTTCTAACGACATTGGTTTGATTAAAAAACAACATTATCACATTAATGTTTATTTTATAAAAAATAAGGTACAAAAGGACATTATTATAACAGTATTCATTTTTTACTATACAATAAATACAAATTGTAAAATGAGTATTATTTGATGACATTATCAAAATAAATCTGTCATCTATTCATTAAATAAATCGTCAAAGTCAAAATGTACAATATTATTGTAACAATTACAATTTATGTAACATTTACATTACAATTTCAGAATTGCCACAAGTTGCAATCCTAAGTGAAACGTAGTTAAAATCTAATTACAATATGCAAGTTATAATTGTTATTTTATTACTAATAGAGACTTAATAATTTAATGCAGTAGGACACATATGGTATGTATTTAAAATGCATATTTTAAATACTAATTTAGAGCTGGCAACTGGCTGAAATACATCTGCTTTCAAATATTGTTTGAAAAAATGATCTTTTCCGTATACCTACTTCTATTGTTTATATCTAATTTGCAATATATGCTGAATTTAATAAAAAAATTAAGCAATGTTTAAATCAATACATTTTTTACATCGTTAAGAAAATATTAAAAATACATTTTATTGATAAAGTAATGATTTTGATGTGTAATATTTTTTTTAAGTAATTAATGAGACAGCAAAAGGTATGTTTATTTCTGACCCACGTCTATGTAGCGTCATTTCATAAATACGATTATTAATTATCGGATTATTAATATTTTCTATATTTCACTGTAAGAAATAAACCTTGCATTTTTGGTAGGCCTATTTTATGTTTATTGTAGTTTTTATTCATATTACAATATAATTTTGTAACATTTACAAAAAAATGGTAAAATTGGCTCATTATGAGCTAGTAATATTAATGTATCACTCAAAATGGTAAATATTGTGGTAACTCAATCTTAAATACTACATTCTTACATTAACATATTAATTTTGTTTACCATAATACCGTTGGCGGATCAATAGCTTGTTTATTTAACTCGGTTGCTAACTATATCATTTGAAACATAGATTTAAAATTTTGTGAATGAAACATTTCACAGTTGTAATTGAAAACTTTCTGTACCTATTAATTGTAATACAAAACCGCAAACCTATCACTTCCTATATATATTGCTACTTTTACATCACTTTCATGGCTGTATGGGCGCAGTTCCTTTTACCTTTCCGTAAACTATATAATAGGATAAACCAAAAAAAGATATTTATTTAAACGACACGTTTCACTTTCACGTGCGATTGGAAGTGTTAAAAATTTGCGTGGGAAAACCAACTCGTAAACTTGAGTGATTGCATTTTACAATTTTTTGTGTTCACACTTTCTTTTAATAAAAATAAAATATTTTTATAATATACAGATATTATTTCCCAAAGACAACGTTAAGATTTATAAATTATCAATAACGCTATATGTCTTTGCTTTTATCAAAGTCAGATATCCGCCATTTTGGAATGAAAATTATTATAACAAGGCGCGAAAGCACGCACGAAGTTTGCGGGAATGCGCTCACTGGCGACGCGTGCGGTCTTTCTCGATCTCTTTGTCTACATTTATATGCTTATTCTTTCCTGCCTGAAAGAGTGTTATGTGTAAGGGCAGCTTAGAAGCTATTGTTTTAAAATTGAGAATTGTTAGCAACCGCATTATATAATAAAGCGGCAGGTCTTATAAAACAATCACAATTATACATTGAACATTTGAACACGTTTTGAGTCTTAATTTTAATATTGGTAACCGCCTCCTTGGCTAGGAGGGACGTAACTCTGGCCCGGTCCACTGCTGGGTCCCGGGTAACCGGCTGGCTGATCGGGATATCGGGCTTCACCTTCATAGGTTACCTGAAAGTAGTATAGTAGGTTGTTACAAACTGTATCTTTATATATCTTTTTTATGTCTATGCTTTTTATAACAATTATATTTATAGATATCACTAAAGAGTTCGCGTATTTATCTTTTGCTCTCTTGTACTTGATCTCCTTTCGAATTTATACAGCTCCATACATAGGGAGATACTTACTTAATTAATTAATAATTTAATTTCAGTCACTTTGTTTGATAATTAAGTAATATTACATAATTTTATTAATGTATTAATCAATTAACAATTGAAATAACTTAGATAATATAAGTAAATTTGAATAGTCAAATTTTTTTAATTCTATCATTCATTCGGAACGCCACATCGGACTCATCACAAGAAGAATGAGCAAGAAACTTGCGTGTTGCTCTTTTAAATAAATGTTCAGAATTAAATTAAGAATTTTGTTATTCAGTTACTCGTACCCTATATACATTATTACATAGTATAAAACAAAGTCGCTGTCGTTGTCTGTTCGTCTCTATGTATGCTTAAATCTTTAAAACTACGCAACGGATTTTGAAGATGTTTATTTTAATAGATAGAGTGATTCAAGAGGAAGGTTTATATGTATAATACATGTACCGTGTGAAGTCGGGGTGAGTAGCTAGTTTTTTTATATTAATTGTCTTATTACATATTATAAAATAAAGTCGCTGTCGCTGTCTGTTCGTCCCTATGTATGCTTAAATCTTTAAAACTACGCAACGGATTTTGAAGATGTTTATTTTAATAGATAGAGTGATTCAAGAGGAAGGTTTATATGTATAATACATGTACCGTGTGAAGTCGGGGTGAGTAGCTAGTTTTTTTATATTAATTGTCTTATTACATATTATAAAATAAAGTCGCTGTCGCTGTCTGTTCGTCCCTATGTATGCTTAAATCTTTAAAACTACGCAACGGATTTTGAAGATGTTTATTTTAATAGATAGAGTGATTCAATAGGAAGGTTTATATGTATAATACATGTACCGTGTGAAGCAGGGGTGACTAGTTTTTTATATTAATAGTCTTAGATATACCTCAGCGTTGAATCCATTTCTCCAGTCGGCTGTGTATTTTACAATCTGTGTGCGGCCATCAGGCAGGGCGACCCTGTATTCTCCCCTGGTGACGTCACCGTCAGAGATGGCGTTGTGACTGTAATCGTTGCCGTCCTCGTTCACGGCATAGGCGAAGTCGAAGGGCATGCCGGGCTCGTGGTGGTGATGATCATGGTCGTGGCTGTGGTCGTGATCATGATGGTTTATCTGGAATTTTCAAGTTTAGAATTAATTTTTAGCAGTCTTGAATTTTTTTTAGGCCGCCGTCTAGAGGCGGTAGCATCTTAGGGGATGTAGATTTCAGAGGATAAAAGTCACATGTTCACTTGTTTTCTCATGGTTTTTTCTACTTCCCTATAGAAAATTATTCCTATCGAAATCTATAATATATTATCGCTGAGTGATAGATAAGATCAGCAGTTTATGTAACTTTAAGGCCTTATTTACTACAAATGAAAATTTACTATTTTAGAAAGGTACCTAAAGAATCTAAGGAAATAAAGTAGCTACACTCATAAAAATCCGACACTGGATTTTAGCAAAAGCAATGATGATCATGGTCATGGCTGTGCTCATGGTAGTTTATTTGGAATTTTCAAATTCAGAATTAGTTTTTAACAAAAGTCGGACCATCGATTCCGCCCGGTAGATCCCGCGTCAAATTCCAACGGGCATCGTAATTACGGCTTGAGCCGAAGTTAGAATCCCTATAAAGTGATCGTGAGTCGACCTCCACGCGGTTCACTATGGGCTGAAATTATATCCTCCACTGGAACCGTACCAGCGGGGGGAAGGGGTATGTTAGTAATGTGGATGATGATCCCATTGCTAACAATGTATCATGTCAGGTTGACCTCCACGCGGGTCCCCCTGGAAACCATCGTGATAAATTCCCGGTGAATTTATCACGATGGGCTAACTGACCTGACGTCATGTTCATCTTATCGTAAACCGTTAGCGCAGATGGAAGCATCATCCCATTATCAATCACTAAAAAACAAACCGTACCAGCGGATACTGTCAACGTAAGTGTTGCAAGAGTTAATGATTATTATCCATTTAAGAATAAAATATGAATGTAAGTATTAATTTTAAAAATTTACCATCTAACGATTACTTTATCTGACCTTCAGAATATTGCAACTGTATCGAATTTCATACAGCAATCCATGCAGAACAACCAAATGATATTGTTTTATCGAAACAATAACACATTCGCGAGAAATCGTAAAGTTTCACAATCATATGTTCGATGTTTCGAAATATGGATTGGAGTGTAGTTTTTTTAACGGTAATGTGTTTGAGATTTTTATTAATAATGTGTAATGTAACTATAAATAAATAACCCTGGACAATTAACACAACGCCATCTAGGCCCACGGTAAGCAGAGCTTGTGTTGTGGGTACTAACCAACTGATATTAATGCTTAGATACTTTTTTGTAAATACATATACATAGAAAACATCCAGACCGATACACGTTTGTATTATACTCATGAATACAAATATTTGCACCTTGCGAGGAATCAAACCCGCGACCGTCTGAAGTACAGCGGTGTGACCGGTAGACCACCGAGGCCGTCATAATAATCACCTGAAGGTTAGTTATATATTATATTAGATATGAATAGTACCACTTTTATGTCTAACTAATGCTGTTGGCCGCAGCTGGCCTTTACAGCTTCACCGGACGATAGGGCAGTGCAGATGGCACTCCAAACCAAATCTCCTCAGGATAGAGTGTAAACTTTCCAAAGGAGATATTTAGATAGACAGATAGATAGATAGATTATGTTAACTGAAGGGGAAACGCGACATATCGCGTTTCCCCATCAGTTTGGCAAAATTGATAGATTTTTGTGCACAGACCTAGGTTTACTATATGTTTGTTTAATTAGCGCAATCATCATCATCATCATCATCGCAGCCCGGAAGACGTCCACTGCTGGACATAGGCCTCCCCCAAAGATCTTGTTTGCGCAATGTTTGTTTTAAATAGTTTTATATTTTCCACACTATACTACGTTGTGCTAAATAAATGATTTTTATTATATTACTTTCAGGTAGCTACAGTTACACAGGCAATCGACGGTTTAGATTACGATGACTACGCTGGTAAATTCTCTAAACTAACAGTAACCTATAGACTGTAATATTTTTCATAGTTATAGATGTAGTATAGGAAGGGTATATTACGGTTTCTTAAGGGTTGGTAACATAACTGTGGAATAGACATAGGCCAAAAGTATGTCGCCACTAATAAACCGGCAGATATTATTAAAAAAAGAAAAAAGAAAATTGTTTATTTGGTACACTGAAAATAATTTTTAAAATTTAATTTACATTTTATATTAATAAATAGAGTACCAACTAGGTCTCCGCTCAGCATATGTCGTGACGGGGTGCCACGACGCTGGTTTTCAGCGGACACCGTCATATACAATAAACATAATAAAATAATAATAATAATACACATACATACATAAATCCAGGCGGACAACACAAAGCAAACATTTACGACATACTACCATATATAAATAAACATCACACATAAACTACATACTGAAAACATAAAATAAATATAAATTCTGGTGACACTAGTATTACCCTGCATTACCCCACTTTTGTAGTGCAGACACATCACGGCACAGTTTTCTGAGTGAGGAGTATTTTATTTATTTTTAAAAATTTTATTATTATTATTATTATTTTCGCATTTATTATAATAATAATAATAATAACAAGATTAAGAAAAAAAAACGTCTGTCACTCGCACGTGACACCCATGGTGTTTCAGGCGTCAATAGGCTATGGTAACTGTTTACCACCAGATGGGCCGTATAAATAAAATGAATATCTCTTAATAATTGTATTCGACGGAAAAAAAATAAGTTTTTCTATCAACTGCGTCGAATCGAGAGTCGCTAAGATCTTGAAATTGGATAGATGAAGATTTGTATTATACGAGAATCGAACCCGCGAGCATTGGAAGTAAGGCAGAGTGATAAACTATTGCTATTTTACTTTAGCCGGCTTCAATATAAACAAGTTGAAACAAATGGACATAGGTGAGTTCATATTAATAATTATTAAATATAATAAAATGTATATCATATCGTATCATATCATATCACTCGTGAACAGCTTCGTGGGTGGTGACTGGATATATACTTCGATGCATGTGTGTGTAAAATATACGTTAGTATGTTTTTTTTTATTAATTTAATGTAAATATTTTATATGCATAATTATAAAAAAAATCTGCACTCTTTCTGTAATATATATAAATTTCGCAATCTATAAGAGTGCGAAATTTTATTGGCAATCGTCAAAACCGTAAAAAGTGGTATCAATTTTTATTCACATCACTACATAGTATAAAACAAAGTCGCTGTCTGTCTGTCCCTATGTATGCTTTAATCTTTAAAACTACGCAACCGATTTTGAAGCGGTTTTTTTTAAATAAATAGAGCGATTCAAGAGGAAGGTTTATATGTATAATACATATACATACGGGTGTACCCGTGCGAACCCTGAGTGAGTAGTCTTAGATATAAAATTCTCGTGTCACAGTTTTCGTTCCCATACTCCTCCGAAACGGCTTGACCGATTCTCATGAAATTTTGTGAGCGTATTGAGTAGGTCTGAGAATCGGTCAACATCTATTTTTCATCCCCCTAAATGTTAGGGGTAGTCCACCCCTAATTTTTGTTTTTATTTTAAGGCAAAACAACGTTTGCCGGGACAGTATAAAGATTATCGTTATATAATTATTACAGATTATGGAGAAAGACTATCAAGTAAGTAACTAGCCATTTAGCTTTACCTTATACCATACCAGGTACCATTACCTAACTAAGACTTTCGGGCGAAAAGAGATTTTTAGTAATATCACAGATAACATAATATGTAATATGGACTGATGACCATTTCTAGCCATGTATATCAGGTAAATAATCCTTGATAAATTCCTGGTGAATTTGCTACATAGGGCTAACCAACCTGATCATCCTTCACAGGTGTCACATTTGTATTCATGAGTATGATTGTTTGTATCGGTCTGGGTGTTTTCTATGTATAATATGTACCTATGTATTTACAAAAAAAAATATCTATGTATATGTATCAGTTATCTAGTACCCATAACACAAGCTTTAAATAGCTTAACTTGGGTCTAGATGGCGCTGTGTGAATTGTCCTGAGATTATTATGATTATTATTATTATTATATATATATTTATGGCCACTATGGTCATGTTATCTCTGTCTACCCTGTAAGGAACTTAGCGTGAGGATAGAATATATTTACATTCAATTGGTCTGTTCATCGTGCATCTTGTTGTCTTACTCCTGAGATTATTATTATTATTATAATTATATTGTATTATAATTGCGTCTTATGTATTTCTGTTGCTAGCAGCTTGTTTTATAAGCTGTTAGAATCACAGTTAAATTATATAATGGACCTTACTAACTGCTAATCGTGAGTTAGTTCTTATTAATAAGTTATTTTACAGTTAACTGTAATCATGTTTTAATATTCCAGGCGTTGAAAGTGGTAAGTCTATTTAAGATTCAACAATTAGTGTTGTAATCATATCTTTATTATCTTAATTATTACCATCTGTACATGCGAGTTCGTTCGCATGTAATTTAACTTTATTTTTCTATAATAAAAGTAACCTAAGTAACTCCTTATTACATTAGTTATCTGCCAAAAAAAGTCCCGTCAAATTCGGTTCATCCATTTCAGAGATTAGCCGGAACAAACAGACAGACAGAAAAAATTGTAAAAAATGTTATTTTGGTGTATGTACCGTATTTATATTCATATCCATGTAGTAAAAAACGATTATTTCAATATTACAAACAGACACTCCAATTTTATTTATATGTATAGATTTTCGATGGCTGCTAAGGATTAGCGGTTTGGGGCACCGCTTTACTTCTTCAAACATTTGTATTCAAGAATATGTTACAAACAAACACATTGGTTTCCATGTGTTTTCTATGTATATTATGTATGGATTTACAAATCTGAGTATTTATATCAGTTGTCTGATACCCATAACACAAGCTCGTTTAGCTTGGGACTAGATGGCACTGTGTGAATTATCCAGGAATATTATTCAATCGAGCTTCGAACCCTTAGCGGTAAACTAAAGTACCCTTAAACTAAAGTCGTATCCGTCAGGCGAGAGTTGGTTTCAGCCGCTCCATAAGTCCTTCTTTTGGTTTGGAGTGCCATCTGCACTCGCCTCCTATCGTCCGGTGAAGCTGTAAAGGCCAGCTGCAGCCAACGTAGAGTTTAGAGTAGTCCGAAAAAAATTACCACAAATGTAAATAAACTACCAAATAGTGAAAACAGCATTATTACATAGTATAAAACAAAGTCGCTGTCGCTGTCTGTCCCTATGTATGCTTAAATCTTTAAAACTACGCAACGGATTTTGAAACCGTTTTTTTAATAGATAAAGTGATTCAAGAGGAAGGTTTATATATATAATACATGTACATCCGTGCGATGCCGGAGTGGGTAGCGAGTAAAAATTAACAAATCATAACAATTAAAATATTAAATATTTCATTATTTTCAGTCCGACAAAAGCTGAAGTTTAATAAATTCTCGTTGACTCGTAAGACAACAAGATGCACGACGAACAGACCAATTGAATGTAAATATATTCTATCCTCACGCTAAGTTCCTTACAGGGTAGACAGAGACAACATGGCCATAGTGGTCATAAATATCAATACATAGAGTCAAAATTATTTCATCATGAAGGTAATTTCTTACCATTTAAATTAATTTAAAAAAATATCTACTAATTTATTTATTTATTTATTAAAACTTTAATACACAAATACATACACATGGCGTACTCAACACCGTGAGGCATTTTCTCCTAGTCAACCATTGGGCAAACAGAGTTTTGTGGGCGGTGCATTAAAAAATTTGGAATTGAAATTAAAAAAAAAAATAAAAAAGTAGATAATTTTAATATAGTCGAGTTACTCTAGAAATAGTCCTTTTTTATTATGTTTTCCGGTGTCGGTTGTCTAGCGGTTCAGCACACCGTCTTACTTCCGATGGTAGCGGGTTCGAATCCTCGCACGACACAAACATTCATGAGTATGAATGTTTGTATCGGTCTGGGTGTTTTCTATATATAAGATATGTATGTTGTGTAATTACGAAAAAAAATATCTATGTATTTGTATCAGTACTCTAGTACCCATAACATTAGCTAGCTTAACTTGGATCTAGCGCTGAGTGAATAGTTCTGTGATTATTATTATTATTAAATGTATTTTTATAGCACAGGGGACAGGCGAGCTTGCGGCTCACCTGATGGTAAGTGATTATCGCCGCCCATGAGTAACACCAGGGGAATTACAAGTTCGTTGCTGGCCTTTTAAGAAGGAATAAGCTCTTGAAAGTTTCAATATCGTGACGGTTTGGACATACCATTGCTGGCAGGTGATTCCACAACGTGGTTATGCATAACTAAAAGTTTCGTTTATTATTGGTTTCAGTGGATCCTTCATTCACAATTGGTAATATAAACTTCTTTATTTTATTACACACGAGCAACGGCGGATCCAGGGGGGCATCATATGGGTCATGACCCCCCCCCCCTGAGCTCAGGACTCTAAGTCCTGAGCTCAGGGGGACCACTAATTAAACATAATGATTTTATTTATATATTTTGTTACCATACAGATTTTATGTAACTATATACCTTTAATATTTAATTAATTATATTTAAATAGTGCTTCTCTGAATGTCTTCAAGAGAACGAAAGAAAGGTATAAAAAAAAATAAAGAAAAAAAACTTTATTATAGTGTCTATGTGTTTGATTAGAAGTGTGGGTATTTTATTGATTATGTTAAATTTTCAGATAGCAGTAAAGGTAAGTACTATATATTATACTATATATTATTATTTAATAATATTATAAATTTTATTTAAAAAATAAATTAAAAATAAAATGTTAAAGAAGGGATGTTGTACTTTCACGCAAATACTACTAAACCGATCATCATGAAATTTTGTACACATGTTTTTGGAGGTATTAAAATGAACATAGAATACTTTTAAAAAATAGACAAATAATTTTTGGATACAATGCGAACGAAGCCGCGGGTAAAAGATAGTAAATAATAAATGCAATATGTCAGGTTTATTCAATGGATTCAATGCGAGTGAAGCCCGCGGTTTCACTGTTCACACGGGTGCGGATAAAAGTTAGTAATAATAAAAGCAATATGTCAGGCCCGGCTAGTGTAACGTGATGAATTTTCTAGGAATGAACCACGTTTTTTATATAGATTTTTAATAATTATATTATTTTATACATATACAGATACAACAGAAAATGATAGGAATGAAAACTATATACCAAGCAAGGAAGAACAAAATCGCAGCAATTGTAATGATATCTTACTAATATTATAAACGCGAAATTTGTGAGTTTGGATCGATGTTTATTATTCCTTCACGCAAAAACTACTGAATGGATTTTGATGAAACTTTGCAGTAATATAGCTTATACATTAGATTAACACATAGGCTGTAATTAAAAGAGATGTTATGTAAAATTAAAAATATGCACACATCGCAGTTGCAAATAGTTAGACTACGTGGCTGGTCATATAACCTATATTGTTACGTAACTGAATTGGTAAACAATCTGACGGCCCGCCTGATGGTAAGTGGTACAATCGCCAATACCTACATAATAATAAGAAAAACTCAGGACAATATACACAGCGCCATCTAGTCTCGAATTAAGCAAAGTGTTTTTTTGTACAATACGGGACAAACGAGCATGCGGCTCACCTGATGGTAAGTGATTACCGCCGCCCATGAGCACCCGCAACACCAGGGGAATTGCAAGTACGTTGTCAGCCTTTTAAAAAGGAATAAGCTCTTTTCTTGAAGGTTTCAATATCGTATCGGTTCGGAAATACCATTGCTGGAAGGTGATTCCACAATGTGGTTGTGCGAGACAAAAAGTTTCTAGAAAACCGCACTGTGGAGGACCGCCATTCATCCAGATGATCAGGATGATATTTTAGTTTCTGGCGGGTGATACGGTGGTGAAACTCAGCCGCTGGTATTAATCCGAACAATTCCTCTGAACACTCCCCGTGATATATGTAAGTTTGTTATAGATACTAGACAACTGATACAAATATTCATTCATTCATATATTTAATATGTTTCTATTGTAAATACATAATATAATGTACATAGAAAATAGCCGAACCGAAACAATCATACTTTTTAATATAAATGTTTGTACTGTGCGAGGAATAGAACCCGCGACTATCCGAACTATGCAGTATGCTAAACCGCTAGACCATCGAGGTCGTCTTTTGAGAGTATCTAAATATGTTTTTTTTTCTTTTTCTTTAGATGTTCAACCGGATATGAAAAGTGTACATATATCTGAAAAAACTTACAGCGGACCGCCGGTAGTGAAATATCCCGATCATTATTATGATGATGTCTAAATCTTAAAACAATTGTTTTATTGACTACCTCTTAATTACATGAGTTTCGAACAGTTAAATAATAATAATCTCAGGACAATTCACACAGCGCCATCTAGATCGCTTATATTATGGGTACTAGATAATTGATACAAATATATAATATTTTTTTCGTAAATACATACATAATATACATAGAAAACACCTAGATCGATACAAACAATTATAGTCGTACAAATTTTTGTGCCGTGCGAGGAATCGAACGCGCGACCGTCGGATGTAAGGCGGTGATTTAAACCGCTAGCCCACCGAGGCCATCAAATGAAGTATGGTAGTAATTTATTTAACGATTTCGATGGTTAATATAAATATTTGGTACCATGTCAGGTCGACCTCCACGTGGTCAGCCTGGAAACCATAGTTATTAATTACTGGTGAATTGGTCATTTGGGCTAACTGATCTGACATGCTCATTCTATCATCCTCCATTGGTGCCTCGTTAGCTTAGGTGGGTGAAAGAAAGAAAGAAAGAAAGAAAGAAAGAAAGAAAGAAAGAAAGAAAGAAAGAAAAAATATTTTTTCAGTGCTTTTCAATAATGTGAGTGCACCATTTTTATATACCTATTTATTATCATCCATACAGAACAAAGAAGAGAAAAGAAGTAAATCTCTGTTCTGCGATCATGTATTAGAAAAGAAATATATAAACATTCGTACCTTCATAAAAAAAAACTTGTGTATAAATTTGTATTACTGTCTGACTGGTGATAGAAACATCAATAACAAACAAATAAATTTGATAATAGGTGGCAAACTTATATGGTATATAACCCTACTGTCTTATTAACAACTTAATATTGCTTCCTTAATATTTAAAACGGCTCTATAAATACTATATGGTTGTAGCCCATTCAATCATAAACATATCTCCTTTGGAAAGTATACACTCTGCCGTGAGGGGATAAAAACCATCGCTCCTAAGAATATCCTTCAATTCTTATCCCTGACGGGTCTAGGTAGATCGCTGTGCTACAGGTCTAAAGCACCTGACAATAGCCCAAATCCACTAATAAAAAAAACTACATATCCTAGTACTTACTGGTTGTGAGGTGGGGCCGGGCGGTACGTAAGTAGGGCCTGGGGTCGGTCTGGGGCCTGGGGTCGGCCCCGGGGGTACGTAGGGTCTGCTCGGGGTCGGTCTCCCGGGGCTCGGTGTTGGATACTGTAAAATAATGACATAAATTAGTATTGGATTATTTAGATTAATTTTATTATATTTTAATTATTTGTGCTTTATTTATATCTTTATTATGTTATATACCTATTTAATTTATTTTTATAGGAAATATGTATTCAACATATCGCAGGCCTCTTACTTGTTATTTATTTCATATAACATTTATTCAAAAGAACAACACACAAGTTTCTTGCTCGTTCTTCTTGTGATGAGTCTGCATTCCGAATGAATGGTAGAATAAAAAATATGACTATTCAGAAGTGCTTGTATTGTGTTTATTTGAATAGAGAATATTTCTATTTTTATTACGTTAATGGTAAATGGCCTTATATACATGAGTAGCACTACGGATATCACGTTATCACGATACCCGTGATACCACTAATGGGTTCAATTTCAGAGGATTAAGATGTCATGCCTCTTATCATTTAATTTATATTGCTCTATCTCTTATTATAAACGTAATATCTCCTTTCGAAAGTTTTCACTCTATCCTGATGAGATAAAAACCATCGCTAAAAATAAGAATATCCTAACCCTAAGCCTAAGAAACCCTAACCCTAAGAATATCCTTTAATACTTATCCTTGACGGACCTAGGTAACAAACTCTGAAAAAGGGCGAGCACAATAGATCTATGTAGGTCGCAGTGCTACAGATCCAAACACTTGACTATGAAAAAAAAAATATCCTGTAATTTCACTGCTTTATTTTAGTCTACAATACAAACACAGCTTACAAATTACATCGCGTGACTGTAAATACATTAGACACAGTTAATTTTAAACTTTCGTGTTTAATATACATTATTTAAATTTATTTGTTTATTTGTCATAAAATTATTCGCATTAGACATAGATACCCACGCATACAAATTTATACAAAGTGTACCTTGAAAAAAAAATATAATAACACTTTACACCCACATAAGCTATTAAATTCTAAATAAATTTACTATGATTGGCATACACATGTAACAATTACGCTTCCTTCCTTAATCGGCTTTATATAATAACATATATAATGTACATACACCCATATCGCCGCCATGTTTGTTTTTATAACTTCAAACTCGCAATTACCGCCAACAATGCACTTCTAACCTTGCACGTTTATTTAACAAACTATTCAAATGTCAAAATAATTTAACTGTTAAAATATTGCTGCGAAATTATTGGCCGTGAAATGTTAAGGTGTATGACCATTATAATAATTGAAGTTATATTTTTAGTTTATGGTTTGAATTCTCCGTTGGAAATTAGTTTCGTATCAGATGTTTTGTAATCTTGAAATAGCGCCATCTAGTTATTGCCCTTACAACTAACATTGTTTATCTATACATCTATACATATAAATAAAATTGTAGTGTTTTTTTGTAATATTAAACAGCCGTTTTTTACTACATGCATATAAATATAAATACAGTACATACACCAATATAACATTTTCTACAATTTTTGTCTGTCTATCTGTCTGTCTGTTTGTTCCGTTGTATAGAGTAGTGCTTTTATTATTTATTTTATTTTATTTATACTCTTTATTGCAGCAATTACAGAACAAAAAAAAACAATTAAAATAGAATTAAATATTTATTTAGAATATATAGTAAATTTGACTAAATATTCAGGTAACATAATATTAAGTCATTATAATATGAGTACATTTCAAGTTTTTACGCCAAATTTAATAGCAAATTAGTTACGATTTGACAAAATACGTATAGTGCCTGTGTTAGTTGAACGGCAAATGCGTAAATCAAAGAGAAAAGTAAATATACCAAAGGGAGTAAATAAATAATGTATAATATGAATATTGTAATGCGGTCCCTGACGGGTCTAGGTAGCGAACTCTGAAAAAGGGCGAGCACAATAGATCTATGTAGGTCGCAGTGCTACATATACTACAAAAACCAAATAAAAAGAATGCGATAATTTTGCTGGAGCGTGAATGACATAAGTGAACAGGCAATAAAGAATGTGTTGCCATATCTTTGGAACTATTTACACTAGAAATATCATTGTTTTGTTAGTTAGTGAGTGAAAAATCTAGTTTCAGAATCATGAAAAAAACATTTTTGGGTTTAATGATAATATCCAATTATTTGTGACGTGCGATATGTAGAATTGCAAATCATGAGACTGGTCTTCCGCACCCCTTAGGGTGGTGAAGATTGGAAAAAAAAAACGATAAAAAACTTTCCTTTTTTATTTTCTTTATTTTTAATTTCATTATATAATTTATTTTTAATCAATTATACCTATAAATAAACGTATGTTTTAAGAAATCGAACCTGCTACCAGTATAAGTATATTATAAGCATCATCTTCATCATCAACCACCGAGACGTGATGTTTATGCCTTTTACTTCGCCATATTTTCTTATGGGTGATAATGTAATGTGTTATCGGTTTACGCTGGCGGGGCACCAGGGGTGGACGAATAATATGAGCATGAGGTCGGGTCAGTTAGCCCATTGTGGCAAATTCACTAGGAATTGGATGGTTTCCAGGGACAACCGCGTGGAGATCAACCTGACATGGTACATTGCTAGCAATGGGGTTGTCAATCCCCAACATTAACAACTCCCTTCACCCCTACTTCGCCATATTACCTATACCATTATTATTATAATTACATATATTAATAATTTGCATTTTTCTTCATAGTAATAATTGTTAAATAATAATATATAAATAATAATGATTTCAAATTAGGTTCTATTATTTTGGAAACTTTCCAGAGGGGACTTTTTTTGTTATGGGTAAGTAAGATTTAAGTCTAAATGTTGTGTTTATTGACGCGTAATTTTTTTGAAGGCAATATACAAATGGTTCCCAACCTTTTTAGTGCCATGCCCCTAATAAATATCTTAGCCTTTTAGAAATACATATGTAGTTTTTAGGACGATATCATTAGGAAATTACTATTGTAACTTTAATTGTAAGTTATTTATATTATTAACCGGGTCTTAACACGAACTAATTTCATGGCAAATAAAGGTTAAAAATAGCTAGTGTAATTGTAAGTTTTCAAAACATACAATGAAATTTATAGTCATAATTTTAATATAGAGTCCATATTCTTAATTGCCCCCCTTGACAGCAAAATTAAATCAACGTGGGCCCATGCCTGACGTGATCGTTTATTCTTTGACAGGTTTTGATAGACAGACATTGGTTTATTTATGTCATTTAATGGGCAGGAAATTTAAAAAAATCTTAAAGCTATTTATTGAGAAAACGTTAGTTTAAAAGGTAAGTATTATCGGATGAACAAATTTTATATAGCTAGTGAAGCTTTTAAGTAAGACTGACTCTTGGCACGTTTTTTTTTCATTCACCTTAATTATCAACAATAATCAACATCACAACCGGCCCGCTCGACTACACAAGTTTTCGCAGAGTTTTCAAAAACGGGACAATTTTGCGTCCCAGAGTTCATTTTGGGGACACCGGAACTCGTAATTATTAAAAGGGATAGTCCCGTTTGAAATGGGACGTCTGGTGTCGCCCATGGCCGACATGTCTGCCACAGTGGGTCGTGGGCCCCACTTTGAGAAACATTGCATTAGACAGATTCAAGGTAAAACAATTGTTTGACGAGACGTTTTAGATTATTTGATAATGTTTTTATTGTTTTAAAGATTACTGTTGAGAAATAATTGTTATAGTCTTTTAATTGCATTGGGAATGTTTATGTAAATCTTATAGTGTAATACATTCACTATCCATACCAAAATACCTCGGTGGGTTAGCGGTTAAGTACATCGCTTTATTTCCGATGGTTGCGGGTTCGATTCCTCGTATGGTCCAAACATTTGTATTCATGAGTATGATTGCTTGTATCGGTCTGGGTGTTTAATTCAAACGAAGGTCATTTGTATTATAAAAAGTTAGTCTTTGTTTGGGAGAAATACATGTCAATAAAAATAAATTTGTTTTGATACAAACCTACATTTATTAATACTTATACTTCATTGATTTTGTGTTAATGCGTGTTAAATGTACACTTGCATGTCATTTGAGTATAATCTATATAAATCGGTAATTGATACCAGTTTTCGATTGTGCCACATCCCTATTTAGGGAATAGCAAGAAGCTGGCAACATTGGTAATGTCAAATTTATCTCTGTGATAAAAAAAACAGACTAATGTTTTTTTGTACTGTCGGAATAATAATAATAATAATAAATAATCCTGGACAATTAATACAGCGCCATCTAGTTCCACGATAAGCAGAGCTATGTAGTGTGTTATGGGTACTAGACAACTGATATAATTACTTTTTTTGTAAATACATATAGCAAATACCCAGATCGGAGAGAAGAGGATTGTTAGTAATGTGGACTGATGATCCCATTACTAACAATGTACCATGTCAGGTAGCGAACTTTGAAAAAGAGCGAGCACAATAGATCTATGTAGGTCGCAGTGCTACAGGTGCTACAAACATCTGACAATAGGGGGAAATGGGATTGTTAGTAATGTGGACTAATGATCTCATTGCTAGCAATGTACCATGTCAGATCGACCTCCACGCGGTTCCCCCTGGAAACCATCGTGATAAATTTCCGGTGAATTTGTCACGTTGGGCTAACTGATCTGACCTCATGTTCATCTTATCATCCTCTATTGGTGCTCCACCAGCGTAAACCGTTAGCGCAGGTGGGTGTAAAATTCCACTATTATCTACTAAAAAAAAAAAAATACCCAGATCGGTACAAACAATCATACTCGTAAATACATTGCATTGTGTGAGAAATCGAACCCATAACCATCGGATGTAAAGCGGTATGCTCAACTGCTAGACCACCGTGGCTGTCAAATTATTACTTTGCTAGTATCACAGATAACATATATAATTAAAGATAATAAAAAGGTGCAAGACGGTGCAATCCACTGTCATTGGATCAAAAATAATTTCTAGAATTAACTATCCCTACAAGATCGCCTTGTGATCTTCATGAGATGAAATTAAACTGACATTTTAAATGGACTTACTGATATTCCGTTGTTATTCGTCGGGAAGGGCACTTTTGGGGGTTCATAATTGTACCCCTTGCTGGGGGGTAGGTATTCGTTTGCTCCCGTTGCCATAGCAACCACGGTTGATGCCACAAGACAGCAAAGCCACCTCTGAAACAACATAGTATTTACAATATATATAATATTTTATATTGAAAAATAAATATAATAATAATATGGGGCCCTGAACCCCGGCCGACTGTGCTTCTGCCGGGGTATGTTGCCATCTCCTCTCCTTAAGAGGGGAGATGAGAATTTTTGGATAATAATAATAATAATAATCTCAGGACAATTCACACAGCGCCATCTAGACCTAAATTAAGCTAGCTAAAGCTTGTGTTATAGGTACTAGACAACTGATACAAATACATAGATATTTTTTCCGTAAATACATACATATTATACATAGAAAACAGCCAGGCCGATACAAACAATCATACTCATGAATACAAATATTTGTGCCGTGCGAGGAATCGAACCTGCGACCATCGGACGTAAAGCGGTGTGCTAGACCGCTAGACCACCAAGGTCGTCCAATGTACATATAAATCAATATGTATATATAAACTCTCTTACAATAAAATAGAAGAGAATTCTATTCTATTCTATTCTAAATTCCCTTCCTCCGACTAAACTTCCTCTGATCAAATTGAAATGGTGATCGAAATTACGACGGCCTAAGCCCACGTTCGTACCCCTACGGTGCCATCAGACTAAAGTCGAATCTGTCAGGCAGGAGTTGGTATTCAGCCGCTCCATAAGTCCTTCCTTTGGTTTGGAGTGCCATCTACACTCGCGCCCTATCGTCCGATGAAGCTCTAAAGGCCAGCTGCGGCCAACAGCGTTATAGTAGTCCGAAAAAAAGTGTCCGTTGTCTGTTTGCTTAGATCTTTTAAACTGCGCAACGGATTTTAATGCAGTTTTTAGTAATAGACAGAGTGATTCGAGAGGAAGGTTTGTGTATAATACTTGTAGACCCGTGCGAAGCCAGGTAGGTAGATGTATACCGTCTCTACCCCCGTCCTCAGGGGCCCTCCAAAGGACTGACAATTTATCTCACACATTTATTCTAAAAATGTTTTTTGTTAAATCTTTTCTGTGTTTTGTTAATATGTTTTTTTCTTAAATCTAATGAGCTTTATATTTTACTTTCCAAAAGGGCTCTGAATTCTTGTGTGCCCAAGGGCCCCAGCCTGTTTAAGATGGCGGTGTGGTAGATAGTTAAATATAAGTAGAGTTACTAAGTATTCTTTTATAACCGTATGCATTATTCGTTTGACCCCGGTTTTTCTCGTTACCGTCGCTATAATTCAAACTTGTATGAATAGGGTTGTCACTTTTAATTGTCTTTTAATATTTTTTATTTATGTAACATAGTTTACTTTTCTCCTAATATGCTTTAGTTATTTTAGTCTTCCAGATATATTAAACATAATAATAATAATAATAACCCTGAACATTTCACACAACACCAATTAGTTCCATGTTAAGCAGAGCTTGAATTATGGTAACTGATATTGGTATAGAAATACTTTTTTATTATATATATATTATATATAAAACACCCAGACCAATACAAACTATCATACTCTTGAATACATAAATTTCCATCATGCATGGAATCGAACCTGCGACTATCGAAATTAAGGCTGAGTGCTAAATCGCTTGATCATTGCAATCAGTGAAGTGTATAAGCGGATGAAAGTGTGTAAGGATGAATGTACTTAGTAAGACATACAAATGTCTTACTAAGTGCATTCATCACTCAAAACATACCCAAATATATACTTGTAACATACACTCAATTGTCGTACCTAAAAAGCGCCAACCTAATAAGTGACCTATAAAATTTATTATTCTAACTTTCGGTGCTAACCCTACATGTGACGGGCGAGTGAACGCGCCATACAAAACGGAGTAGGCAAATTTTGCATACAATACTTTATGGGAAATTGTACCGACTACAAAAAAGTCGTATCCGCTATAATATATCGCGTGTCATATTCGCACAATAGAGTCGATACCTAATAGCCTACTCAGCACAGTGGTTTAGTAATTACACTCGAATAAAGTGGTAGTGAGTTTGAAACTCAGTTTTTTAATAATTTTATCTCAGTGCAATTCACACAGCGCCATCTAAATCCAAACGAAGCAGTACTTATGTACCCATAATACTAGACAACTAATATAAGAACATAAATATTTTTTGAAAATACATACATAATATACATAGATACCACCCAGGCTAATAGAAAGCATATTTCCTATGAATATATTTTTACTGTATGAGGAATCGAACTCACGATCATTGGAAGATATAGTTTTGTATGTAAGGTTATTATGGTATGACAGTTTTTTTTGGATTACTTTAGTGCTGTTGGCTGTAGCACAGATAACATATTATTACATGCTGTAGTTAGCCTTTACGGCTTCACCGGGCGATATGGGGCGAGTGCAGATGGTACTCCAAACTCGCGGAAGGACTTATGGAGCGGCTGAAGGCCAACTTCCGCCTGACGGATACGACTTTAATCTGAGGGCACCTCTAGGACTTCGAACCTTGTCTCAGGCCGTCGTAATTTCGATCTCCGTTTGAATCGGGGGATCGATCGAAGGAGAAGTGTATACGATCAAAGTGTAAAGTAGTGTAGTGTAAAGGTAACATGCGCCTGCGCACAGTACCTCATGCATTACGACACATCACAATGCACTGCATCAATAGTGCAAGGCCGGAGTTCGATGCCACTCGCTCCACACTGCGACTTGTTGCTTACAATACTAATATAGCTATCAATGATCGTGTTATATATCTGTCTTATATGATGACGTGATACATGATATGCTTAGCTGTTTAACTCTCTAGTCAGTGTTTATTTATTTTATTCGTTTACTCATTTATTTATTAATTGCTCACACTTTTGTATAATTATCTTTATTTATTAATGTAACAAGTGCAATAAAATATATTTATTTCATTCATTCAGAACAACACACAAGTTTTTTGCTCGTTCTTCTTGTGATGAGACAGCTTTATGAATGAGCGGTAGATAAAAAAAAAATGTTATGACTATTAAAAGATGCTGAAATTAAGTTTATTTGAATAAATGATTTTATTTTTAATTCTATTTTATTCATTTACTATAATACGAGTATACTATAATACTGATAGAGATATTCAGTGGATTACATATATAGTAGTAAATATAATTTATTTCGTTCCGATTGCAGTTGCACGTTACACACAAACTGTTACTTAGCAACAATACTTATTTTAAATGTGATGGATTATACTTTTTCTACTTCAATCAATGTGCCTAATACGGTCCCTTAATCCATTACATTTAAGACATTCTACATCTCTACATTTAAATAACATACATAATATAAAACAATATACAGAAGAGTAAACAATAGAACTACTAGCAAAAAACATATCCAAAATTAAATCTGTTAAAATACTAACAATTTCTGTTGGACCTATACCGCCCATAACCTGATAGAGATATTCAGTGGATTACGTATACAGTTGTAAATATAATTTATTTCGTTCCGATTGCAGTTGCACGTTACACACAAACTGTTACTTAGCAACAATACTTATTTTAAATATGATGGATTATACTTTTTCTACTTCAATCAATGTGCCTAATAAATACGAGCTCTGCTTAGTTTGGAACTAGATGGCGCTGTGTGAATTATCCTGAGATATTATATATCGACACGTAATTGGACGAATAAAATTGGAGTACCTCTTTGTAATATTGAAATAACCGTTTTTTACTACATGCATACAAATACGGTACATACACGAAATTGATATTTCTTACCATTTTTGTCTGTCTGTCTGTTTGTGCCGGCTAATCTCTGAAATGTCTGGACAGATTTTGACGGGACTTATTGGCAGGTAGCTGATGTAATAAGGAGTAACATAGGCTACATTTATTTTAGAAAAATAAAGTTATATTCCACGTGGACGGAGTCGCGAGCTCAGAATATACCAACTTTAGTAAAGTACAATACAATTCCTGAATAAAATCGATTTAACAGGAACGGTTCTCGTTGATGTCTTTTGTAGGCAACTGTAGTTTTAATATCGTCAATTAAATAGAAAAATGTCATTTTTCAAAATTAGAAGCTATTATTGCCTCGTTTTATATAAGTCAATTACATTAACCACGCCGTCTTAATCACTATCTAAATACTTATAAAATTTCTGTGTAAATTTAAAACTTTAAAGGAAAAAAGAATTTAAATAAATTATAAAATAAAAAAACTTTACACAATGATATGAAAAAAAAATATGATTTTTCAAGAGAAATATATATTTATAGTTATTTTTCTAGCGCAATAGTGGAATTTAAGACTACCTAGAAGTCAATTAACGCTATATACATATACATATATAGGTATATAGTTTGGTAATGAATAATTCTATTCTAACGAATGATAAAAATACTTAATTTCAGACATCAGATTATACAAAATATTCTATTTCTTATGACATAGTATGTACGAATTTTTAGATACATACTAACTAAATAACTAAATTGAAATATCTAATAAAATGCCTCAACTATCAGAAATCCATAAATCCTTTTGTATAAATTATAGAAACCATTTATTAACCTATTACAAACTTATTTTTTATAGTACAAAAATTGTAAATAATATCTAAAATAATATATAAGCATGTACCTATTTTAGATAATATTATATCTATCAACTTAAAACTAATTACTTTATGAAATGACTAGCTGACCCGCGCAACGTCGTCTGCATAACGCCTGACATTTATCATTATATTTCGACCAATTTATATAATATAAATTATAGCCTATATGTAGTTTATTTATATATTAAAACTTTACTGCACAGATACACAAATAAAGGTGCACCTGGCGGACTCAACACCTAGAGGATTTGTTATTGTGATTTATAAGTTACCGCCTCGGCTCGCACGGGTGCATTGCTGATACTAAATATACATACTACAGAATGTCCTTATAAACAACGTTTACAGCTTTTTGTCATTAGACAGTACAAACATGTTTTGTTTAGCGCCGCCGGCCTGGCCGGTACCGCCACACCGCTATGTCGCTGCATTTTAAATG